AGAAGGGAGGGGACAAGATGGGGGGGACAGGAACTGGGGGGGGAAAGGGGAGGGATCGGGGGGAGGAAAAGGGGGAGAAAAAGGGGGTTAGGAGGCGGTCAAAGCGAAATCGGAACTTGTGACTTGCGAAGTTCGGACAGAGGAAATACCCAAAGGGGGAGGGTTGGGTGCTGGCGGCTTGGGAGCCGGCAGGGTCGGCTTGTTCGGGATTTGGGGAATGGGAGGACAGGTACACTCGCCCCGTTACGCATTGTGAACCACGTTGTGTTGCGGCGCGTTTTTACTGTTTTTTAACTGCACTGCGCTATGGCTTGAATGGCTGGGTTACAGTTTCAGCTGGGTTAGACCGACCACCCGATTGCTGGTAGCGCTCTGCCCCGTTAATCTGTGCTATTGTGTCGTATCGTGTCGTATTGTGTCGTACTGACTCTTTTCGGTTGGTTGTTATCGCAGGCGTTGCATGCGGCCCCCGACGTGATCGGTGCTGGGACGGAGGTCGGCCACGGTACGACAGCCGGCACTGAGTACGGCAGCGTGGTGGGTGAGATGGCGGCGGCAGCGGGTGAGGCGTGATGTAAGGCCGCCTGGCAGGAAGGGCCTGCTTGGGTTTAGCGCCGCTGTCGCCACGGGCGCTGGTGCTACTGCTGTCGCCACAGCGCGCGGTCGGGATGTGGTCCTCCCCTTCAGGCAGTGACGGCGCCCGGGTGGTGTGTCTAGTTGCCTGTTGGGGCACCGCATCCACGAAGTTCGCAACCGCGTGCCGGTAATAAGAGGCCGCATGTGGAGGGGTATGTAAGTATGTATCGAGTGTGTGTATGTGTGTATGTGCGGCATGTGTGTATGTGCGGCATGTGTGGTAACTGGTGTTAATGGAAGAATGGTCGATCAGGCTGCGTGGCTTGTATGTATGTATGCATGCATGTTAGCATGTCAGCATGTATGTATGTATGTTGGTCTGCAATTGTCAGGAAGCAAGGGCGCAATGATATGTGTGCGCATTACAACACCAGGTACGCCCGTCGCGCCCTAGCGGGTGAGTTGTAAAGTAAAAGCAGCGAGAACCTGCAAGAAAAAAGGGGCATGCCGAAATAAGTGATTGTGGCGCAGGCAGGTGGTAAGATGCAGAAAGGTGATGATACATCCGCTGAGCACCTGCCCGGGGTCGCCCGGTGACCGGCTGGCTGTCGGTCATCATGTGCCGGAGCATGTTGGGCTGCAAGTTTGAAATGTCATTCCGCGACATGACATAAAAACACACGTTGAGTTATTAGGGTTTTAGGGGGTTGTGTGGATTCCGGTATGGGCGGTGCGCGTTGTGCGTTGTGAATTTTTAAGGGCTTCCTGTTTCCAATTCTTGTCGCATACAAAATGCAGCATGCTGTACATCTCGTCAAGCAACCCGCGAGTCTCGTCGGCTTTTAGACTGTGTGCGTGTGTAACTTCATCATCGAGGAGCTGCACGTTCGCGCTTTTCCTTTTTTCTTTACGAAAGGGTTGAAAAAATTTGCCGTTTATTTAGTTTTCTGTCAGGCATTTGTTTGCTTGCTTTGCGGCTGTGTGTATCATATATCCGGCAAATCCGGCTGGTTTCGAATTTGAGCATATGGAGCCAATCAATGCAGGACGGCCCTGTGCAGTGTTGCCTGGTTAGTTGCGAGAAGAGAAGTAATAAAAGGAATTAAGGGTGAAAACAAACAAACAGAACACATGGGCAATAATTTCATTACAATTCTCTCGGCACCATCATTTGTATTCCTGTTTTGTGGCGGCTGTGTTATGTCATGTTGCGTCATGTGCCGAGGTTTTCAGTTCTTTTCTAATCTAGGTCGATATCCCAAATATGCCTCGGCAACAATCTTTTGTAAGCCAGGCGTTTCCCTCCTCTTCCACCTCCCTCGTCTGATGCAAGGACGGGCGGGGTGGCCACCGCTGGGTGCAGTGTTATGTATGCGATGTTCAGAGCGGTTAGCCTCCTAAAAGTTGTCTTTTTTGACAGGAAGACAAATTATCATTTAGCTGCGGTTCACTTTGATTGCCATCCGACTGCCGACTGGTTGATTCACTTTGTTTAATGCAAAGCGAAATGGTGGAAGGGACACTGAAAGGTGGAGTAAATTTCAAACCGCTGCTTATGTGCAATCCCATTGCCCGTCGACTCCAATGTAACGCGACATTTAGGCCTAGCATGCAGGTATCTTGTGCTGTGGTTTCTTAATATACATACATAACGTTGTACGACCGTTGTACTTGTCTGTCGTACCATTGTACTGCGTTAGATCGTGTGCTATGTTAGGGGGTGAGACCGCCCTCGGACCCCTCTCAAGATGTCAGCGCCAAAAGTTGCAAAATGTTCCAAAGGGAAGCTTCTACATATTTGTATTAATTATTTTTGTCGCGGGTGGGATGCGTGCTTTGCGGAAATGAGTGTTTGCCACCTGAACGCGACGGCAGCCAGGTATCAAAATTCAGGAATCAACACAGCGCAATGGAATGGAAACGGCATTTGACATTACAGCTTGGACGACCTTTGTTGCAGGTCATGTCGCACCCGTGCTTTCCTTCAGCACCTTTTGCCTGTTTCGTGCGCCGGGCTGATCATCCATAAGGAAGCACGGATTGCTGGGGCACTGCGGGGTTTGGAGTCATTTTGGCAACCCTAAGCTGGTATAACCAATCACGTGACTCCCCCTGTGCATCACCTCTTTCCCAAAAAAGTCTTCCCTTTCGAAGCTGTTGTCTGCATCCATGTACTTACACTCCTTAAAAGCCGACCTCATGCCGATAGCAAACATCATTTTCTTTTAACCAACGAAAACCGTCAAGTCCTCACCATCTCCTCCGGGCCCAGCCCTGGCATGCTAGTGTTGCCGCCTCCACAACCTCGCCCTCGCCGCTGCATGTTTAAGAAGCTGGAACCGTCGAACAAGAGCACCTGTACGCCGACAGGAGACATACATCCATAGATACAGACATGCAAACAGGCAGGTGGCTGGCAGAAGTTAAGGCCTGACGTCTGCCCCCGGATGTCCCGGGTTCAAATCCGCCTGTCGACCTTCTGGTATATGAGAGATGACGAACGTGGAGGTGGCCTCCCCTAAGTTATGGACGGTCCAGGACGTAACTGTATCAACTTGCGAGCAAATCATGAACAAAGTTGTGACGCCGTTGATCCGGTAGATTTGGTTGGATGCGAATGGTGAGTTGCTGAACCCAACGTATACATTCTGAAGTCGGATGGGGTGAATGGAATAGGGTGCCCCTCTCGCAGGGGAGAGCAGGGAACTGCCTCGGGAAAGGGGGCTGCTGGTGAAGCTATACCACCCTGTAACAACATACGTACAAACAAGCCTGCTACCCAATCCAACGACGCATGGGGTGCCCACATTAACCTCAGTCCTTCACCACCACCCCTCCCCAATTACCCCTCGATCCGTTTTGCCCCTTCTAGATAGGCCCTCCCGTGTCGGGGGGCCGGCAGTGTGCTTGCGACGCCGCAGCAGCCAATTACAACTGCAGCAGCAGTCACACAGAGGCCGTTGCGGTTCTGACAAGCCTCTGAAACGCTGGCATTTCGTTATGTGTGTGTGTTTGCCTTTTCGCCTGTCTGACGGCATGCTGTATGACCTCATGCCACAAAGAGGTTTGTTAGCATTGGGCTCTGAAAAGCTTTCCCTTCAAGCCCTCCAACCTTTGCCTTAATTGCTTTATCAAATGCTTCCTAGCTCTTATCAAATGCTGCTGTTACCATAGTCGCTTCTGTTGCAACTGTTGCTGCTAATGCTGCATTTCCTTGTGCCGGTATGGTTACTGCCACACATTGGCCGGATACCTCCTGGCCCACCAATCATTTGACTGCGCAAAAGAGAATCTCTTCAACACATCCAAGCGGCCTACCCAACCGCTCACGGCCCCCCTTACTCCCGCCACCTATCACCGATTCTCAACCCAACACACGTCTATCCATCCATCCATCCATCCATCTATCCATCCACCTAAACCAACCCCGGGGTTCACCTCCTCCTCCGCCCGTCACCAACCACCAGCCACATCGTGGCGGTGCTGTTGCAAACAGCTGTGCGGTGTCGTACGGTGCAATGCAGCTCTCCGTCTCAAGATCCCTCCACACCCGCACAAAGCAGCATCAGGATGCACCATCACCAGCAGCAGCGGCAGCAGTAGCCAGGTGTACGGGAGTGCGGACGCAGACCGCAGCCATGGGCTATGCTTGCATGAGGGCGAGGACGCACTCCACCGCGCACGGCCGTGTCTGCGGGGCAACAACACGTAATGACAAGAGTTCCCCTCCAACACCACCAGCCCGGTTAGGCACAGCAGCCAGCCACAGATTATCAGCCATTCAGAAACGTTAACGGCAAAACGTGGGGCCTCGTAACCTTTCAGCCGCGGCCGCCAATCACCACCACCATCCCCACAACCACAGCTGCAGAGCCTTGCAGAACCCTGCAGACAGCCACAGTCCCCATCACCACAGCAGCTTATTCCCTTCTCTGCCCGTTCCTCACAATCTAAAAGCTTCAATAGGCAGCAGCGCCACAGCGCCACAACTCCCCTTCCCTACCCCGCACAACACACACACACACACATGCGCATGCACCGCTCACGCTTCCCTAAGGATTATAGTCATATCCCCGCACAGCTCGATTGGTCATTGGTCCATGGCCCCCCTTAGCTCCTCTACCCCTCCGCTCCATGCGTCATCGTGTTGGCCATATTGCACCACCCATGATGACGGGAGGAGCCCTTCCCAACGGCCATCTTCCGCCGTCATCTCAGCCGCAATTGCGGGAGAGAAGGGCATGGCAACGGCAGCCGCCGCTGTGACGGGCTGTGGCGTGGCCGTAGCAGCCCAGGTCTACAGCCCAGTGTGCCGCAGTACACAGTCCGCCGCCCCGTGGAAAGTAGGAGGTGTTGGAGAAGAAGACCAAGGAGGAGGAGAAGGAGAAGGGAAGGAGGCTTTGCGAGTGGGTAATATATTGGGGCAAGAAAGCCGCCAAGGTAAAAGGGGTGAGAGGGGTTGAGTGCGAGAAGGCTTGGCGGCTACAGCTGCCACTGCGGCTACGCAGGTCGTCTGCCTGACGGCGTTACTGCGGGAGGGCTGCCTCCTCCCTCAGGCGTGTGTGACCCCCGCCGGCTGACTGGACGGGAATGGCTGGTAGGTGGAGGACAGGGGTGGGTTCAGACTGTCGGGCTGTGGGTGTTAGGGAGGGAGGGAGGGAGGGAAGACAAACCACGAACGAGTGAAGGTGATGCCAAGGATAGGCGGATACGCCAAAAATAGGAACTAGAAGTGACTTATGTGTCAGTTGCGATTTGTGGAGGAGGAATCTTCGCGGTGATGTAGAGAGGAGGGAGAGAGACGGACAATGTGTGTGCGTTGTGTGTGTACATTACACACGTGGTATTGTTGTGGCGTTCCACAAAATGAATTTCGGCCGCCGCAATAGCGGTATGCCATGCGACAATTTGTGCATAATTCTTGAACAAATAGTGAGATGGGGGATAAGACGAACCACTGGCGAATGAAGCAGATACGAGAGATAATGACGGATAATGGAAGGAGGGAGAAAAAAGATGACAACAATAATGATTGAGAGCGCTTGTCACACCAGGGGGTTCTTCGCAGCATGCGAGCAAAAATGTAGAGCGTGGGTGCGCCAGGAGCCCCTAGGCAGCGGGCATGCTTCATTGCAGATTTGGATAATAAAATACAAAACCGGAGACCGAGTGCCGAAGACGTGCCACACGGTAAAGAAGCGGGCTGGACCCTCGCCCCAATCCGAACGAATTTTTTTTATTTTCTGTCAGGGAGTAGAATACCTCTCACAGAAAAAGATACATCTCTGGAATGTCTTTGGTGAAAAATATACGCAAGATGTTAAGAACCAACGATCAAAAAAGAACCCAAGAGACATTTTCCCTCCCCCCAACAATGACATTGGGGGGTTTCTACCAGCCGAAGTAGAGCTGGTAGCCCCGGCGAGCACCCAGACATATCTAAGCTACCTGCGGTGGCTGATATGCGGCGAAGGGATCGCTGGCTGGCATCCGGGCATAGGCGCCTGGCCCCCCGGAGCCGCTGCTACCACCAGCGTTGGTCTGGGTGACCGGCTGGTACGGCACCTCTCCTTGAGAAGCGGAGCGATGCAGAGACCACGCTAGCGCGCCGCCAACCAACTGCGGAGATCAGTTGGGTTTGATGGTTGGGGAGTTAAGGGAATTTGCGATTGGGAGGAGTTCGATGATATACACTTTTGGGGAGTAAAAATTATTTGGAAGAGGTCTAGCAGGTATGGGAGAAGTAAAGCGCTCTTTAGTGGAGGCGTTTTCAAACTTCCGCGGAGACCTCGGTTGGCTGCCAGGGGCATGCGGGTCCAAATGCACGTCGTTGCCGAGTGAGAAACTCTTTCCTAGCAAAGCAAAATATGGGTACAGTGTGGTGGGCAAATTAATGCTGCTCGGGACTTCCTAGCTAAGGAGTCGAAAAAAGAAACCCTAACATTCTGGACCCATCCAACAGGAACATGGCATGATCTTAATATTCCCCAAAACACGTTGAACAAGGTTCTTTGCCTTACATGGTTAGCGACTTGCTTTCCGCACCTTGGCAAGCATTTCGCAAACAGTGAAGAAGATAAGCCACCCCCGCCCATGCACCCCGCGTGTACTGACGGAAAGACGAATGATGTCGATGATTACTGAAGAAGGGCTGAAGATGGCGTACTGCATGATGAAAACAAAAGTTGGAAAATGCGACACTGGGCTATAGCGTCGCGGGTGCGTCTCAAACACACCAGAAGAAGGAGCTCGCTGGAGGCAAGATAAATGGCAAAGAGCCCCATCACCGCAGTGCTTCCAGAGACGTCAGACGCCCAGATGGATGATAAAAGCGCTAGACCGAGCGTCGTAATGGATGCGAGCGCGACATATGATGCCCGCTGACCTTGGAATGCGGGAGGCACCGACGGGCCCCCATTTAGGGGGAAGTTCATGTTAAGCATCGTGAAAAGATCCTTGCGTCGGGTGTCGCAGCTGCTGCCTCCAAAAAAGCAAACGTCGCTCTAAGACAGGTATACTTTACAAAGCATAACCACCGTGTCGATGGACATCGGGGCAAGAGTTTCTACGGGGCGTTCAGTGCGTTAGTATAACAGTTGTGTCGTACGCGAATTCCCGACGAGCAAGTCCGCCCCCGGACGACAGTACAACTGCCTTTTGCTCGCTAAAATTAGGCAAGCGTCGCACTGCTGAGGCAAGAGCCCGTGCGTTTTCTTTGACTCTCTGACCTGGCAGCCGTCTCGGGCAGGAACGGCACGAGCTGCAACCAGGAAAAGCACAATTTTGTAGGATAAGAATATAATTTCATCAACAGTATTAAGTCAATCTCCGGGGTGCACCGCACGATTATCTTTCCAGGCGGCCTGCTCAGGTCCGCCGCATCGTACGCCATGCCTCGACCTTTTGCAACTACCGCGCGCTCTACATACTCCAAATCCGTCCTGGGTCCTGTTTTCACATCTTCGTTTCCAGCAGCACCGGCGCGGCGTTTGCCGCCGGCTAATGCGGTCACCCGAGATCCCCCGAAAGGCGCCGGCGCCGGCGGCAAACGCTCCCCCGACGGTCAACGCCGCGTGAAAACCAAGCCCCGTGACGCTGCGCCGTCAGCTCCAACACCCACATCCCATTCTCAAACTCCGTCGCCTCGGACGCCTCAGCCCAGAGCGTCTCACCTGAAAACCCAGCGGCGGCAAGCCAACGGCACAGCGCCACGGTCAGCGCCGCCGCCGCTGCCGCCGCCGCCACCACCTCGCGGGCCTCCCCCGAACTCCCCGGTTCATGTGGGTCAACGACTGGAGCTATCGTGTGCCAGACTGGCTTTGGAGGGCAAGGTGGGTGAGGTTAAACATTGGCGATGGCGCCAGCCCTGTATTGTCAGGGGTAAGAGGTGAATGTGTATGTATGTATGTGTGTGTGTGTTTGTGTCTGCGGGAAGGTAGGGAGGCGGAGTGCTTGCGAGGGTTGGATTTGCAACATTTCTCCTCGCCTGCAGATTGATTGCAGTTCCGACAGAAGGAAGACGACGATGTTCTTGCTGCCTGTCTTTCTAGTACAGATGTGGGATGTCTGTACGTATGTGTGTTTTCCCATGTACGAATGGATGTGTATATGCGCATACGTGCGTGGAAACGTACGAAGTTTAATTTCCCCCCTTCCCCGCAACTCAACGAACCCAATCCTGGCACACGCCAAAGAGCTCCCAAAGAGCTCCACCAAACGACACCACTTTTACAAGCTAGACATGCAGTTAACCGCCAACAGCTAACCGCTAAACGCCAACGGTCTGTCCGGCCGTGCAGGGCGTGTGCCTGCTGCCCCCCACGGGTTTCGTGGTGCTGGTGGAGAGGGCGCTCCCCGGGGAGGAGGTGGTGGCGGAGGTGGTGTCCGTGAAAAGAGGCGAGGGAGCGGGGTATGGGGGGAGGGGAATGGGGTAAAGGGGGGGATGAGGGGGGAAGCAGGGGCTTGAAACACACACGAAGGTTACTTAGACAACTGCTCTTACGTCTAAAAACAGCAACTGCCGTTAATTAGAGTCCAAAGAGCAGGAGTGACAGCAGCAATTCATCGATATTTTTACGTGAGAAAATTTGCCAGCAACTCATCGGTATTTTTATTTTGCGCGTTGTGCCTCGTACTTGTGCTTAGCGTCTCAATCTCCATCGTTGTGTAGGAAGAATCTGGGTCATTGCTGCCGTAGAAGTGCCGTACCATTAGAGGCATCGTATGAAGTATATGACGGCATGACGGCGGTTTGGGGGGGGGGAGACGGGCGGAAAGAAGACGTGTTTTGCGATGTGTATGCCGTGCCGTACATATGCAGGGTGGGGTTGAGGGTAGGGAACGAGGGGGAAAAGAAGGGGGTAGGAACGGACTCAGCGGGGTATGGGGGGAGGGAAGGGGCGAGAGGGGGATGTCGAAAAAATAGGGGGAGGAAGGGAGAGGAAGACGAACCACAAACGAGTGAAGCTGCTGCCAGGGCAAGAGTGTACCAGACGTAAAACTGACCGAAAGGCGTCCGTGAAGACCGGGACCGCGAGGAAGGGAGAGGGGGGGGAAACCGGTGCATTTCCTAGAAAGCTGATGAAACAAGTTCGTCCTCTTCTTTCGTACGGCCAAATCCGCAGGTTATGCTGAGGCGCGCAAAGTGGCCAGTCTCAGTCCCCACCGCCATGCCGTACAGGCGCCATGTCCGTACTTTGGCCCGTGCGGAGGTTGCACGTTGCAGAGCCTGCAGTACGAGGCCCAACTGGCGGAGAAGAGAAATCAGGTGGCTGGGTGGTTGACGGTTTTTAAGGACCCGGCGGCGCGGGTCTATTCCCGGAAGTGGTGGTTGTGGCAGTTACATGGCCTAGCGTGTGACGGCAGGTGTATGTACGACATGACCAAACCCCTAGGGTACGGGACACATACACACATTGGCGACGGGAGTGATGAAGGAGAGGCGGTTAGGCGGGGGACTAAACAGCAGTAACAGTAGCAGCAGCGGGGGCAGTAGCAGTGGGGGCAGTAGCAGCGCTCAACTTGGGTCGACGTCAAACCCATATCATATAAGAACACAACACACGCATAGATACATACATACACTCGCACACAGCTCACTGCCCCACCATACGTTGTCACCTTGCAGGTGGAGCAGACATTGCGGCGGGTGGGGAAATTGGGACCCTCCCTGGACATGCTGGCGGAGGAGGCGGCGGCCGCTCAGGGCGGCGCCGGCGCCGTCGGAGGGGTATCCGCCACAGTGGGCTGCCGTGAAACGTTTGCGTACCGCAACAAGGTACGGCATTGTACAGCATTCTTCGACCTGTGCATCCATGTAACTATGTGTGTGTCTCTCCCCCGCCCTCTCTCGTTTTCAGGAAGTCAGCGCCGCGTGTGTAGTGAGTTCTGTGTATATTACCTTCCCCCCAACCCCCTTTGCTTTGCCTTCCTCCACCTAATCACCCCTAATTCACCTGGATACCGTACGGCAATTGGTACGGCAACCATGAATTCCTCGAATTCAAAGTGCCTTCTTGTCCGCGCATGTTCCACATGCACGCATCTTCCCTCTCTGTGTGAACACATCCGCCCTGAAACACACACACCCTCCCTCCCCCCCAACCCCCCATTTCCCCCGACCCCCCAAACCCACTCGCTCGTGGTTCGTCTTTTCCCCCAAACCTGGATCCAGATGATGTTCCACTTCAGTGCGAGGTGCTGGTTGGCGCCGGAGGATGACGTGGCGGAGGACAGGTACGGGATTTAGGGCTGTTGCTGCTACTGCTGCCATTGCTGCTGCTGCTACTGCTGCCATTGTTGCTGCTGCTACTGTTGCCATTGCTGCGGGGTATAATGGGGGCTCCAAAAAGGGGTCGGTGCGGAGAAGTGTGTGACCAGGCGCCGGCCGTGTGTATTGGTTGGGTCACCCGGGGGGGGAGGGGGCTCGAGAGGGGGGAGCTTGGGGGGGAAGACGAACCACGAGCTTGGGGGGCCGGGAGGGGGGGGAAAAGGGGCGAGGTGCCGGAGAAGATAGGCAGGTAATCGGACAAAATGGAGGGCGAGAGAGTGGAGAGGGGGAAAGAGAGAGGGGGAAAGAGAGAGAGAGAGAGAGAGTGAGTTTCAGGAATGGCTCAGTGGGGGAGGACGGGGGGTGAGCGAATGAGGGCGGGAGGGAGAGAGGGAGGGAGAGTTAGGTTTTAGGCAACGTTAGAGGGGGGAGTTGGAATGCGTGGCTTGTGGTTGGGTTTGCTTCCTACCATCATTTCCGAAAACCACTGCTTAATACTCCAACAGCCCGTACGCATACACCACCGCCAAAACCAAATCCACTCGCGCGCGAGCAGGCCGTGCCTGGGACTGCTTCGCCCGGGTACGGCAGACGTGGTCCTGCCGGTTGTACAACACGGCTGCAAGCTGCAGGTCTGTGTGTGTGTGTGTGTGTGTGTGTGAGCGCGCGCACGTGTGCCTATGTGTGTGTTTTGCTTGTCAGTGAATGGCCCCCACCCCGCCCCACCCCACCCCACCTACCAACCGCAGCTAACCCCCTTTTCCACGGCCTAACCACCCGCCACGTTTTCTGCTCCGCGAATGTCACCGTTCACCACTAACAACTTCCAACCGCAAACCAGCAACCTCCGTGACTTGTCGCAACCGCAAACTGTCCTCCGTAAATGCCCTTTCCTGTCATGTCATCCAAATCTCAATCCCCGACCCTCCATTCAACCCCCCTCACCACCACAACCCGCGACTCCCAACCCACGCACATACACACCTCATCAGGGATCAGAAGCCAACGCCATGCTGGTACGTGTCGAAGAATTGGTTTCGGAGGCGAGCCTGTTGCCGTACAATCACTCGTCCGGCAAGGTGGGTGAATGAGCGCGCACAAATCCTGACTTGTCAAAGGTCCCCCTGCCCTCCCGTGTACGGCAGTTTTGCGCTGCTCGTATGTCCCGTCCTGCCCCTGTCCCGCATTCCACCGTTATATGATTTGCCGTACGTGGCCTATACCCTGCCGTACAGGGCGTCCTGAAGCACCTTGTCATCCGTAGCGGCGGCGGCGCTGCACCCTCTGACGGGTCAGCGACGGCTGGGGAGGGTCGGGAGCTGATGGTGGTGTTTGGGGTGACCCACGGGTCAGCTGTGAAGCAGCTTAGACCGGTGGCGGAGGCGCTGGGACGCGAGTTTCGGAGCCTGGTGAGCCTGCGTGCTTTGGAGGGGGGTGTTGGGTGTATTGGGGTGATGTGGTGTGGGCGCCGTAGCGCCCCTAGCGCCGTGGAGGGTATATGGCGGGAGGCTGTGCACTGTACGGAGTGGCTATGGGGAGGACGCAGCGGCAGCGCAAGCATCTGGCTAAATTCCCCGTCCCGTGCGTCATGGCGTCATGATGTCGTGATGTCGTACAGGCGGGCGTCGCAGTCCAGGTGGTGGCGCCACCACAGCCGCTGCCGCCATCTCGTGGCGGCGGCGGCGGTAACCCTCCAGGGACCTCCCGACAGCGCGGCGGCGGCGGCGGCGGACGGGCCCGGAGTTCCCGTCACAGCCAGAGCCAGGCGGAGGTATCCTCCGACGTGGTTGACGGCGGCAACGCCGACGCCGATGGCGGCGACGACATCGACAGCCGAAGCCCCGTGACGCTGCTGTACGGCACGCCGTACATCCACGACGTCCTGGGCGGCCTGAAGTTCCGTATCTCCCCGGGCTCGTTCTTCCAGACCAACACTCGGCAGGCCGAGGTCCTGTACGATGTCGTACGCCGCGCCGCGGGGCTGCGGCCAGGTGCCGTAGATACGGTATTGGATCTGTACTGCGGTACGGGCACCATTGGCCTCAGTTTGGCGGGAGAGTGTCGGCGGGTGTTGGGCGTCGAAGTCCTGGGTAGGTCGTGGCGGCTAACTCCTCACCCCATCCACCCATTCACTCTCTTCACACATCCCACCCACTCTACACACCACACACACACACACACACACACACACACTCTCTCTCACACACACATTTTCCCGATTGAGAGCTGTTAGATTCACCTCCTACATACATCTTTTCACCTAGCCATGTGGTTATGTGCAGGCATCTAGGCGTGTCATGTAGCCGCACACGGTCACGGTGGTGTGTTTTCCCCGACCTGTTACCCGCGTGAAGATCATCATCACCCTGCCCCGAGAGCCCCTGGAGGGCTCGAACGCACCCCCCCACACACACAAAGTCTTCCAGATCTTTCTATTCCCAACATCCTCTTCAGATCTGACCGTCCTCCATCAATCCATCCACCTCCGCCCCTTCATGGACGCCCCCCCACCCAGTAATGCTCCGCAAGACTAACAAACCCAGAACAGCCAGACAGAGAGACAGACAGACAGATAGACAGAGAAACGAACAGAGGCAAACAGCCGCAAACAAGCAAATCTCACCGCACGGATGTTAATAGCCTATGGTATACTTTAGTGACATACATACATACATGCTGTGGAGCGGCTGCGTTGTGTGTTGGCAGTCTGAGTGGGTCGGGAGCACACAAGACTAACCGACTTGTGCTGTGTGCTCCCGACCCTTGCGCTGTGTTTCGGCTTTGGCCCCCGGCTCTCGCGGCCCACAGTGTAATCTAAGTCATACATACATATATACGTACATGTTAACCCCCAACATGGACAGAGTCGGCGATAGAGGACGCCCGCGCCAACGCCGCGCTCAACGCCATCTCCAACGTCGAGTTCCTCTGTGCTGACGTGGACACCCTCCAGCGCAACCTGACAGCCGCCGCCGCCGCCGCCGCCGCCATTGACCCCGCCGCCTCCGAACTCCTGACCGAGGCGCCGGCGGCGGCGGCGGCGGCATCCCCGACAGCGGTGACCACACCCGACGTCGTGATTGTGGACCCGGCACGTGGCGGCCTGACGCTCGACGCCGCCTCGTTCCTGAGCCGCTGCGGCGCCCGACGTGTTGTGTACGTCAGTTGTAACGTAGCCACGCAGGCACGTGACCTGGACCGATTGTGTAATGGTTCCGGAGCTCCCTTCCGATTGGTTTCCGTACAACCTGTGGACATGTTTCCTCACACGGATCATGTGGAGACGGTGGCGGTGCTGGACCGCAAGGAGTTGACGACGGCGGCTGCGGCGATGTGACGCAGTAGTAGCGAGTGGGAGAAGATGGAGCGATCGAGGTGCCGCCACCCGCAGTGTGATGGTGGTGGTGGTGGTGGTGGTAATGGTGGAGGTGATGGCGGTGGTGGTAATGGTAATGGTAATGGTGATGGTGGTGGTGGAGTTGATGATGGAGGTGCAGGTGATGTTTTTGGTGGAGGTGATGATGGTGGTGGAGGTGTTAGTTGCGTGTGACGCTGCTTGCACGGCCTGATGTTGGTTGTCTGTTCCTTGGCGCCCTGGGACGACTGACACGCGCGTGCGTGTGTGTGTGTGTGTATGAGGGGGGCCGGGTTGAGGCACGAATGGGGGCCGGTGCGGGTGGTAGGGGTGCTGCCGCCTGGACTAGGCTGGCTGAGTGCAAGGAAGGTGGGCATGCTAGGTTTGGGGCTCACGGTTATATGAAGGCATTTTTAAAGCCTCTACGGCTAAAACGATGGACCTTGACAAGGTATTTAAAAGCATGGAACAGGCGGAGGTGTACGGTGAAGTACGGGACGTTTGAGCTATCCTTGGCTGCGCGATGAGATGAATAGATTATTTTGTTCAGCATGATGCAGTATGCGGTTTATTGTAACCTAAGCGGCATGGCTCTAGATCCGGCAATGTGCGTGTATTACCGTGGACGTGCATATAGCAATGTTTGTGGAAGCGCACAGATGTTCCAGCCATGGCAGAGATGTTAAAGTGATTGGATATCCGGGTTCGGCTTCAGGCTGTTCATGTGTTCCGCCGTATGATAAGGCCCGATGACCCTTATCCCCCTTCCAAAGGGTCTGCAGAGACGACCTGCGAACAGCAAGTCTATCGCCACCTACATATCTTATGCATAGATAGCGTTCATTTGTGGGCCTGGCATCATACGGCAAACTTTCAGCTGACCAACTTGAGGCCGATTTCCTCAACCTAGTTACATGACAAAATGATCATTACACCTGAAAATTGATGTTGTTTAGGTTGATGCTTAGCTGTTAGAGTAATAAGACTGTTGGCGTTTTGTTGTTGGGACGTCAATTTCTGCTCAGCCGACAGTTACTTAGCTCTATTCAACTTTACGGGAAGCGAGCGGTGATGGGGACTTGAACGTTAATAGAAGACGGTTGCCTGGGCTCACGCTAAAGCTGGCCTAGCAAGTCCGCCGTCGTGACTTGCCCACGCGGACCAGCGTTGCTTCACTTGATAATTCGGTGGCCTCAGCATGAATAGTATGAGCAGTCATTCAATGCGTCAGCGTCCAGGCAGCACAGGCCCGGCGGCGGCCCTCAAGTGGGTAGCTTGTGTGATGTGCACGCGCCGACGACGTCCTGATTCTCGACGACGGGGAAGCTAATTGATACAGTTTTATTTGCAGAACATCTTCGTCACAATGTCCAGTACCTTCTAGCGGGAGGGGCGGCACGGCAAGCACAAGTGGCCGAGGGCAATTCACGCTTGCACCGGTTCGCGCCGGGCGATTAACCCGCCGGCGCGTCTTCATTGAGGCAGCGGCTTTGCAGCAAGGCAAGTCCGTCTATAAGACGTGTACCTTGGATGTTGCTGCTGATATGGGTGCCCATGAGACATTCGGTTGGGTGTCCGCAGGCGGACTTGGGCTGAGCGAGCTGCTCGACAAGGACATGGTAGAGCCAGTTCTCACACCTCGGCGCATCATGAACCGCCGAATAAAAAGGTACGCGCGCCCATTCCATCCTATACCAAAGCCGCGCTGCCTTGCGCCAGCTGACAAAATCTTGTCGCAATCTTTCTCAAACTTACCTGCGACGTTCCTCCCGCAGCTGCCGATCGCCGGCGTCGCTCGTGGACCTCGTCCAGGACGAAATATCAAATTTCGATCACCAAAACGTGTCTCACGCGTTATCCCGACTCGCAAAGATGTTCCCGGGCCGGACGCGTGGCCGCCCTCATCATCACCCTTCCCCCCACGTCCCTCACGCCTACAACGCCTCAGCGCGCCAGCAGCAGCTCACAGAGCTCAGACCCGCCTTGAAGCTCCTCACGCGGCGAATGCACCAGCTCATCCGGAATTACGACTCCTGGGACGTTACCCTGTCGCTGTGGTCGTATGCGCAGTTGGGCTATCACGACGAGCATGCCCTCCGTGCCCTCTGCGACGCTGCGCTAGCTGTAGCGCCCCTCTTTAAGCCCGTGGACTGCGCCAACTCGGTGGTCGCGTTCGCGTACCTGGACTACCTCCACACGGAGCTGCTGCGGCAGATTGTGGCGGTGGGTTTTTTTTATCGGAATCTGGATCTCAACGACTGGACTCGGGGTTTGGAGGATATCCGGATTTTTAGGGGATGGATGGGAAGGTTCGCCACGGCTAGGGCACGGGTCGGGTCGGGACACGGGTTTTTCCCGCCGTAGGGGGGGGATGGCAAGGGAGCGGCGTAAAGGCTGTCGAGGGTTTTGGAGCTTGAGCTTGTGGAAGGGGGAGGAGGAGGGGGTGGAGGGAGAGATCCTGGTTGGAAAGGTGGATACCCCCGGGGGAGGGGGAAAGTAACGCGCGGGTGGGTGAGGCGTGTGCCGCCTTGTGCGCGCGTTTGTGTGCGCATCAGGGTAGGTGTGCTCACGTGCGCGTGTGCATGTCTGTCTGTATGTATGGTTGTACGGAATGGCTGCCTGTACGGTAAACCTACCCAGGAAGGGGACGCAAGGCTGGGGTTACCACAACCTCCTGGGCGGTGTGCCCGGGACGATGTGCTCACTCGACTCAAACGTTTGCGCGGGTGGGTCGATTGGAGGATTCGGGCCTTCCCCCTCAGCAGCCTGGTTAAGATGGGGTGTGGTGGGGTGAGGTGGGGTATGCTGTACCGCAGCACACTACGGTGCGTGTGCTATAAGGGGTTTACATGTGCTGAAGAGGTCGGGAAGTGTGTTGCATGCCTTTTTGGATTGCCGATGTATTCAATGTGGGGGGGAGGAGGATGTTGGGTAGAGGGGAGGCGGGAAGGCGGGAGGCTGCCTGTTGGTGTTGTGTGTGTGTGCGTGTGTGTGTGTATGCCAGGCGTAGGTGACCGTGCCCCAGGTATGTTTCTTTGGGGGGGAAATGGGCCGGGTGGGAGGTGCGATGTGTGGGAGAGAAAGTTGGAGTTGTTGGGCGGATGGCCGAGCTGGCGAGTGCAGCAGCA